AATTACCCAAAAAAAGGTCGATAAAAAATAATAATATAATAATAATATGATAATAATATACTATAAGTAATTGGACACTTGTATTGTGCAACTCTATTATATACGCAGATTTCAAATTAGTCTAATCTAAAATAATAAAATGATTCAAGATCAATATTGATATATAGTGATTACTTCATATGCTTATGTCAGAGTAGCATACGAATCTTGCAATAATTTATTTATTCAGTATTTTTAGAAAAGTGTGTTGAATATGGAAAATTTATTTTTTTTGGTTCTTGGAAGATTGCTCACATTCAGCCTATTCCCAAAACAGGGCAAGAAAAATCTTCCAAATAACTATAGACCAGTCACTTTTCCTGTTCCAAATTTGAAGGACGACCCTTTCAGTTGTATTGCCAATTGCATATGCAGGAAGATTCTTGCACTGACGCCTGTCGGATATAATCCGACGGCCTTTGTGGTATTAGCCAGGGGAGTGGTTGTTTTCTGGGCGTCAGTCCACTCAACCTACTGTGAGGTATATTCGAGACTAGCTTGAACGTTTAAAGTTCATTCATTTAGATTTGTTTACTGCCAGTATTCCAGCTTAACCCACTGGCTAATAAAAAATATATTAAATTTGTTCTAGTTAAGTTAAAAGGTGAAATGTTTGAATCACACCAATCTTCAACTTTTTTCAAGTAGGCATAGATTATTTTGTGCCACTCACAAGTGTTTTTGTTATTTCAAAATATTGTAGTGTCATCTGCAAATGAGATGAATTTAGGTACAGTTAATCGCCATAATTGTCACTATTGAACTGATTCAAATCCTCACATTTTTCATGAAGTGCATACTCAACGTCCACAAAAATTAAATGTGTGGGCTGGAATATTTGGTGACCGTATTGTTGGCCCATTGTTTTTAGAAGGCAGTTTAACCGGACAAATGTACCTGGAGCTTCTGGAAGATACTATTAATCCACTTCTCACTGATATTATTGAAAATGACTACAATTATCGGGGGGGCTCCTCCGCACTATGCTCTGGGAGGTGGAGCACTATCGAATGGCCACCACGATCAAACGATGTGCGACTCGCCCCCAGTTCCCTAGTAAAATTTCAAGGGTTGTTCATCCCTCTGCTCCGGGGTTGAAGTGACGACGCTGTAAATGGGGAAAAACTGTCCCCCTCCCGATAAAAATCGACCTGTCTGAGCGTTTTTTAGGATTCGCAAGATTAGTACCCAAAACCTCCATGTTTTCGAAGTCCCACCCTGTATTATGTTGTCTTGCGTCCCTAATAGCTGAAACTGAATAGGATCTGTTAATATTTTAACAAGAGGGGGCTCCTCCGCACTATGCTCTGGGAGGTGGGGCACTATCGAATGACCACCACGATCACCAGACTTTTCGCCGTTAGATTCATTTCCATGGGGTCATTTGAAAAGCAGATTTTACTGTACTCCTCCTCCAACTCTCGAAGATTTACGGCAACTTCAACNTGGTGTCTATGGCATTTCCATTTTTTTGTAGTTTACCAATTTTCTGTTTTCATCTAAGTTTATTGTTTCTTATTATTCAGAGGAATCGGTCACATTTCGGATATGCAGTTGGCTAGTACCTCATCCACTAGATCGAGTGGCATTTTCTTGTTCGCTCCAACTTAGGAAGAGGAATGAAATACTCTGAAAGAATTCCAATTTTCATTTATGGATTAGGTCGATGATGACCACTATCATGCACTGATGAGTGGCTAATGAGCCCGGAACCGATCTGCAAGTGTGCCTGTTCCGAAACTGAAGGTCGACTCTTTCAGTTGTATTGCCAATTGCATATGCAGGAAACTTTCTGTGGAGATTCCTGCACTGACGCCTGTTGGATACACTCCAACGCCCTTCGTGGTATTAGCCAGGGGAGTAGTTATTTTCTGATAGGCGTCAGTCCATTCAACCTATTGTGTAGGTGTATTCGAAAGTGGCTTTAGATGAGTTTATTGTATTGATCAAAAGACTGGGAAAGGAGTTAATACTAAAACTAGAAGGGGGTTCTATTATCAATATCAAGTATGACTATTTGTTGATGCAGAGCGCAAAGAAAAAAACTTTTGTTTTTTTATTCACTCACTATTAACTTTAATTATGAAAATTATTGGTAGGTACTCCTACTAGTAATATAATCATGATAATTTAATGATGATATTTCCCCGAGTTTTGTTAATATTAAGAAATTAATTTCAGGATAATAAAAAATATATTTCGAATTGTGCGGATGTCAGTAAATGTTTTTAGTATTCAAATAAATCATTATGTACATATACAGTGTGTAAAATACAAATGGAATAAATTCAATATTTTGGTTACTATACATAATTGAAAAAAATCCCGAAACACGTCAAATTTAAATTACAGTTTGACATACTTTAACGGGAAAATGGTACCCCTACCTTCAACCCCCCACAAATAACAGGTACAACCCCCAATTTTTTGAATGGAAAGTGTAGGTTTGTGATATACTCAAAACTTATTTCATGTTAAGGAATGGATAATAAGAAAGTGAGAAAAACCAAAGTAAGTTCTTTTTAACTATAAATATTTTCCGTGGCAATCTTAGTTTAAAACGCCTTGTCAACTTGCTTTGTATGTAACAACATTGGTTGTCATTATTTTAATTTAAGTTCAAAGTTCGTTAACTTCAAGTCTGACTAATGGTTAGATTAACGGAAATGCATAAAAGAACAGTTTAACAAATGATTGGTTACGGAGATAAAACCCTACTTCAACAGGAAGTAGCTCGTCTATTTCAAGAGAAATTTCCTAATTTACCGCCCATATCTTGAGGAATAATAAGCAAAATGGAGAAGCAGTTTCGCAAGCTTGGTCATGTGAGGCAGATAAAAAAGCAGCTACTAAAACAATGAGCTATGAACTCTGCGCAATCACCTGATCTTTCATCATTGGATTTGTTTTAATGGGGATATATAAAGACCAAGGTGAACAAAACTAAATCTTCAGATTAGAATAGCGCTTGCGATTAATTCGGTCACACCTGATATGTTAAATAATGTTAGAAGACAGTTTTAGTTGAAATGGTGTGTCACTTTCACGTTGAAGAATGTCAAATTATAATTTAAAATTAACGTGTACAGTAACCGAAATAATGAATTTACTTCATTTGGCTTTTACGCACTGTAGATTGAAATATTATGTTTTAAATGACTTTCGTTAATTATTATGTAATTGTTTGTTTTTTTCATGATTATTAATAATTATACAAGTCTATGGAGATTTGCAACAATGGAAAACAATGTTTGAATAGATGAAATATGAAGCTGAATGTGACCAAAAGAGCTTACCTGCTGCAGTCAATGTTTCCCCAAGAAAACTCGACGACGTGTATCTAAAAGGCAGACAGACTGGACTCACGTATTGGTTAAAACGAATATCTTGAGTCGTCCTCAATAGGGCTATATCGTTAACTAGGCTTTCGGAGTTGAAATTTGGATGCATTTCCCAGGCTGATACTTTACTTTCTTTACGCAAATTCATTGATCTTTTCAAATCTTTTTTCAAATTTCCAAAATTTTGAAAATTTTTCGAGATATTAAGAAAAAACTAAAGCCC